ACCCAAAAATCGGACAAATCAATCGGAGAAAAAAATCGGACAAAAAAATTGGACAGATAAATCAGACAAATAATCGGACAATATATATCGGACAAAAAATTGGACAAAAATCGGATTTAAAATTGGACTAATAATTAGACAAAAAATCGCGCAAATAAATCGGACAAAAACTCGGACAAAAGAATCGGACAAATAAATCTGAAAAAAAAAATGGTTAGAAATCTTTATTGTTCTAATGCAAAACATTCTGCCAATGTTCCATTGAATCTTTGAGTTGGACAATAAAGTAATCGCAGACTAGTTGACTCCCAATATCTCAAACCCTCGTTAACTCTAGCTTCGCACTACCTCGAACCAAAATCGATTTGCTCTGGTAGTTTCCTTCATAAATTTATAGTAATTTACCCTCGGTAATACTCGAACCTCCCACTAACTCCTAGTAATGTTTGTTTCTCCTCAGGTTATTCCCATATACTTTAACCCTGGATAACTCGAACCATGTTTTAAGTGCGTGAAAGTCGAAAAAAAAAAAAACAAGTGTACTAAAGTCAGAGACATTGAACTTATCTTCAGCTATTTCGAGAGAGGTTGTAGGAAAATATGTGCACGAGACAATCCCGAATAGGAATATGGAATACGATCAATCCTTTGTTCCTGACACTGGAGCTGTCGAAGCTCTGACTTTTGCTGTTTAATTTGCTTTAGCACTCGCAAACATACGCCCATAGCCCCTCTTGCCATTCTTGAACACAAAACCACCCACAATACCTTTCAGGATTGTCGGCTGCACTTTTTTCGATTGAATCTGTATACAACTATTTCGTGAAAGGTTGTCGCAAAAAGTGCACGCGACACTCCCGATAGCTATTGTGAGTGATTTTGAGTTCACTTTTCTTCAAAGAAATTTGAAAGAATAGCACGAGACATGGACGTATGTTTGCGAGTGCTAAAGGAAAGCCACAAAAGTAGGTTCGACTGCTGCAGTTGTCGGGGGCAGTGTATTGGTCATATCCTATATTACCATCGGGATTGTCGAGAATAGCTTTCTCGAAATAACTGTAAACAACAGTGTCAATTCTTTTTCTCTACTTTTATGTCACTCCAGTTCAAATTTTAACATCCCTATATATATTAATCAATCTTTCCGGCTTATCTTTGTTTCAAAATATCTATCCACATCTCTTGCTGCCCTTGAAGTTGAGTGTGCATGATACTTGCATTCCCTCCTCATCCACTTGCTTATTTCGTTATTTTCGGTCATTTGCTTCGAACACCCGATAACTAGAACTTTTTTCAATTTCCCTAGAAGGTTTGAGTTATCGGGAGTCGACTGTAGTATGGTGATTTGTCTCAAATGTTTGTAGTAACAGAGATTAGGTCCTGTATTAATGTACTAAGGTAATCCAAAGACAGTCTCAGATTCTAGATTCTATTGCTGGATCGAATCCCGGATTCCACGTCATTAATTGGATCTTGCATTCCTGATTTTCCTTGACAATGAATCTTGGATTTCAGAATTCCAATCGTTCGCGTGATTCCAGATTCCAAATCGATGGAACTTATATTCCGGATTGATCTCCCGAATTCCAGAATCTGACAAATCTGGATTGCCTTACCGCGGCGAACGATTGTGATACATCGTGTTCTAGTAGGGTTTACTGTGTAATTTAATGAGCAAGTATAGAGCAGAGAGAAAATTAGAAAATGACTAATTCCGTTACATGGGAGGAGGTGATCGAAGGCTATCGCTTTACACTCTAAAAAGTAGAGTCATGTAAAAAGTGCTGAACTTTTTGTTGCCAAATTAAAATTTCAGTGGCTGGCGCAAGACGGACGCCTTCCTCCCTCCCCTCCCTGTCAAAAAAACGTGCCTCTGAATAAGTTAGCTTTGTTTTGCGTAGATGTTACAAATTATTTTTCCTTTCCAGAACACTGTTGGAAATTTTGGGCTTCTCCTAAATCCGGTCACTACGCTTTTTATTCCCATACAAGTTCCCGGCGACAGATGTTTCTAATTTGTTTTTATAAGTGGTAAACATGCAACTGGTTCGATACGTTTCCACGTGCGTGGAAAGAACCAATAATGAAGCACTTTCTAATCACGAGGTCGCTGGAGAGCGCCTTATTCAAATTTAAAATACTGTGATAATTATTCATGTTGACAGAAGACGCGAAAGTACGCTTCTGTTGCAAACAATTCTGTGAACTCTTGTGGAATGTTACCGTTTCACTGCCGTCCAGCTCGTTTTGTCATTGCACTGTATTCTTGGCTTTACTTCAAAATGCTTACATTGTGGAAAAACATTGTGGAATTCTCCTCGCAACGAGATATAACAAGCCGCGGGAGAGGTAGGTAGAAAATTTTTTTGGCTTACATGTAATTCACGTTCACTTCAGTTTGTAATTTGTGTTCTGAAAAGTAGATAAACAAGGTAAGTTTGCTGTTTAAGTATGATTTGATATTGATGGTCATATATACTTACTAAGAATTATTTTTATGTTCCAGAAAATACATTGGAAGTTGAAAAATAAACTCTGAATAAAGTTGTTGTCGCAGACCACATGGCCAACGGCCCACTCGAAATTATACACGTGACACACACGAATTCAGCAACTCGACTTTAGATAAGGAGAGGTACGTTTTTTTATCAAATAATTCATAGAATCATTAAGTCTATTTTATGTCTTCGGTTATTTATTTTTTAGAGGGGTTGTAATGTTTACTCTGCGTAGTGTCAGGTAGCGACTTGATTTTGCAAAATCAAATTTGTACACTCAGGTGAAAAAAATAACTCCTGGTTTGTGGAAGGAAAAACTACCCAGTCTGTTAGTTCATTTCCGGCGTCAGCATAATTCTTACTAGCATGCGCCACACGTGCATAAAAACCGAAGCAAACAGTATTTGCATTGAATAAAAGTCGAAATTGTTATGTTTCGCTTTGCCGAACAACTGTATGTCGGGGCTGTTGACAGCTTTTCCTAGCTCTTGTTTAGCGTAATAAACAGAAAAAGTGAGAAGTAAAGAACACAATATATAGTCAAACAAGAGTAGCTTTAAGTCGTTGGCGATAATGAGTCTAGTCTTTTGTGGGTCTTTTTCTCTGGTCTCCGTCTCCTTTGTATGTAGAATGTTCTTTATATTCTTATTTCCCTTGTTTCGCCAAAGTTGCACATCTGGTAGGTTAATTGAGACATTTCTAGCCGAGGAGTGGTACCCTTATAATGGCCTATACGGGATCGCTCCACCCGAAAGGGCTACAGTCTTCAGGCTTCAGGTATATAAAAGGGTGGGAATTTCACTTGTTGGAGTATATCAACAGGTTTAAGAAATCGGTCACTGCGTTTCGTTAATGGCATTTTATCGTTAGAAGCATTTTATCGCTGTAAAAAAAGTCGAGAAACAAGTTCTGGTTTTGTGATTTATTCATATTTACAGCAGTTAAAGGAGTACAAAGATGAAAACTAGGTTTGTGAAAGGGGTACCATATTTCAAAAGAAGGTATACAAAAGAGGCACTTTTTTGTCAAAGATAGTATGCAAAACGTAAGGGACAATACCTCGCGGCTAATCTTCCCCGTATAAAAATTTGGTGAGCACCCCTGCCCCCTGCACCGCCCCGCCCCCTGGCCCCTGCTCCCTGCCCCCTGCTCCCTGCCCCCTGCCCCCTGCCCCCTGCCCCTCTTCAGGGCATTTCCAACAGTTGATTATTATATTTTCACTTTCCCCTCCGTAATGTTTTAATCCTTTTCTTTTACGAATTTCAGATTTCACGAATCAGAATCGTTTCATCTGTCGAGACCACCAGAGCAGACCACCTTCCTCTTGTACGGTCAGTTTCAACCAAAGCCCAGCCTCCAGACAGGATGCTAATGAGCTATTTTGCCATCCAGGTTAGGTTCATCCTTATGGGTTGGGTCACGGGAGGTTAACGTAATAGAGCTCTGGATGAACCTTACAAAGCACACTTTAAAACACACACACACCTTCGGCTCCAAGTCTTCGGTTTTTTTTTCCGGCTTAACTTAATTGTAGTTAGATTAGTTGGAGGGTTCCCTGGGCTGGTAAGGGCCTCCCCTTCCCTTTTTTCAAACTTGGGTTGCTTTGCAGGTATTCGGTCTAAAATAGGATTCGGCTTTTCAAACGAAATTTCGGCTTCGATTCGGTGTTCATTCGTCTTTTCATCGGATGAATTTTGTCGCTTCGTCGTCGTCGTCGTCGACGCCATCGTCTTCGCTGATGTCTCCCGCTTAGTTGCGCCAAATCCAATTAAACTAATCACACTTCACTTGACAGCTCATGCGCTGAGCAAGTGAAGCTTTCATTCGTAAGGTTCAATCAGACAATGATTACTTAATGACACAATTAAGAAACTGGAGACTAAAGACCACTTAACTGCTGTAGGGGACCTTATTTAGCCACCCCTTACAGGTTAAGTGGTTTCTCTAGTTGCAGACAGTTAGGTAGTTAAGCCTCGCAAATTTGGTTGTGGTATACCTAAAATCGTCAAAACCTTAAATCTGTAAACCATTTGGCCTCCTTTAACGAAAAGTAAAATTGTTTTTACCGATGACTGACAAATTTAAGTTTCAGATGAGTTTAATTTGACCAAATTTGCGAGCGTAGAGGAGTGTACAGTTTAGTCTTACAAACTTACGACCAGGCGTTGCTTAAACGCCTCGTTGCAAGTTATCAAGGGGAAAATGGGACAACACACACATCCAAGGCTAGACCGTTTACAACTGTAAGCGTAGGTAATCTTCGACTCACCAATCTATTGACGCAGATTCATCGCTGGAGGAACAACATGGAACTGGCAGTTTGTTAGAAGAGTCAGTAACCCGTGTGGTAGGCAAAACAATAACATTGGCTGCAACCACAATTCGGTTATACGCATGCGTAGGATCCCCTTTCCTTCGCATGTGAGTTACTGAATTTGCGCCCGATGTTATTCTTGTGTATGCTTCACTGGTTATAGATATTTGTATTAAGAGCATTAGATAATGGGAGCTTTCTTTCGTTACGACATCATTGACACTAAGACGACTGGGTTTGCCTTCTTGTTAATCTTGTCTTGCGGGAGAATTCTCTTGTTTAGAAGCCCTGCATTGCAGTACGCAGGCACTGATCGTCTACAAATCATAGGCGTAGGTAGTCTTCACATCAATGGTCCATTAGAAATGGTTGCCTCGTCCTGCAGCAGTCTTAAGCCTTTTGGTGTTGCCTCGATCTGTGACTGGGTCACCCTGCGCGTGCCATTGTTGGTAAAAAGAAGAAGCCGGCCGAAGAAAGAAAAATAAAGATCCTCACGTAGGAAGCTGAAGTATTTAGCTAAGTAGATGAGGTACATTTTCCATTGACGAACGAAAAGGAGGTGCCTTATGGAACAAAACTGACGATGATGATGATAACTTCGAAATCATAATTTTGCCTTAAAGCACAAACGACCGACTTGTTAGGAAGAAGGATAGCCAGGGAAGAAAGCAGGTAGAAATTACTTTATAAGCTGTTTCAACTAACATTGATATTCACAGCTGCTTAAATTCATTGGGCAGTTAAGATATCTTTTCATAAGAAAATTGTTACGAATCAGCTTTTCAGATAGCACTAAACTCGCAAAGGTTATTTCGCAACTTGTACAAGGTAAAAATCTTAAATTGAAAAAATTTCTTTTGAGAAGTTTGCGCATCCTTGGGCCTCTTTAGAGCTACGTGTACAGGAAATATAGTTTCCATGCCGCTGAGATAAAATTAATGTTAGTTGAAATGGATACCGAGGTTTGTTTGATATAATTGGCCGGCTGGACTTCAATCTCGAGAGTAACATCGACCCATCATCATCTGGAGGAGCCTGGAGCCTAGACTGTGTCATGAAGACTTTGGAGACCAGATCCCCACGGAGGAGTGCGTGAGAAGGAGGAGTGGTGACAAAATATGACGGATTGCAGCAACCCATATAAGGTAGGGCTGATTTAAATGGTTCTGCGCCTGTGTAAGACTATCGTTTACTGCGAAAGCAGAGTCTGTTTAGAATCGTCATTACTACGCTCAAAAGGTGCACATAGCAGTGCTCCATAGCAACGTTTCTCGTACGGTACGTTGAAAGTTATGCAAACGTTGAACCATATTTATCAGCCCAAGTATACACAGGGACACCAGGTTAGTGGAATCCTTTATTTATATGATAAATCTAATACCTCACGTCGGAAGTCGGCTTCGAATTCGGTTCGGCTTTTTTCGGTTTTTCGATCGACGCTTCCGGTCTGTCTCCGAACTGGCTTGGTATCGACAATGTATCGATAGCAAGCCGCCAATGATCCCTGCGTATACATGGTCTGGGGAACCCTGGGGTGTCCATTCGATGTGTCAAGTTTTATGGACATATGAACACTCCTTGGTTTTACCTGGGTCTTAAATTTTTCTCCTAAGAGCGCTTCCCATTATTTTATTAGATATTTACTGTAACTGGAGTATGAAATTAATAAAAAAAGACAATTATGCTGTGTTGTTGTGGTGTGACTTTATTTTCTAGTATAAACTAAATTCTGTAAGATGATATAGGTTATGAAATAAGTGATTTTTTTTCTGCTAAATGCGCTTCCATTATTTAAGTATTCACCTGTAACTGGAGTATGAAATTTAATAAAAGATCCAAACGTTGTTGTGCTGTTGGAGTGTATTTTTTCCTAATATACATTAAAATATCGAGTCAGTAAAGTTGTACTTACAAACAGCTTTACAGATAGGGAATGATGTGAAATTATTTACATTTAATAAAACAACAAACTAAGAGGCTGTCAGTGTGGTTTCTTAAACTGTCTTTTAAAAAGTATCTTTTAAATAATTTACTAATGCTGTTTTATTTCAGCAACATCGAACGTCAGCGGTTTTTTTCCTTTTTCGTATGCGTTCCGCCATGATTTTTTTTATCCGAAGAATGGAGGAAGAACATTTTTTGGGGCGCGCCCTCATCGCCTTCCAACGTCAACGGCTTTATCTTTTTCGGCAATCCCAAGAGTGGACAAGTTACTTACAGAACGAGCATTTTTCGTCTTATTCTCTCAAGATACTTCAGTCTCTTTTTTGACATCGTTCAAAAAAGACTGCGAAGCCATCCAATCCTGACTGAACCAAGATTCACCCGCGACATACTGATAAAAACTGTATTAATTTGATTTGATTGTAAGATAGTTGCACTTAAAGATCAATAAAGCTTTGCAAATATTAACATGGAATAAGAGGGTGTTCTTTTCTTTGTACTTACATTATAATAATACTGAAAGAACATTATATGGATCATACTTATAGCATTGTAATTATTGTTATTAGCTTATACTTTGATGATCAATAAAGATACGAACACACACTGCAGATAAACGTCTATATATTTTTTTACTAACTCTTTACAGCAGCTTAAAAAAATTCCTTTCAGGACCTTCGAACGCGATTTTTTTCACCTCTAGCTTTTTAACGCCTTCTTCTGGAGAAAATGGACTTTTTGGGGCGCGCCCTGTCGGCAAGATGAACACCCAGATGCAAGTTTTGTCAAGGTGCAGCGTTTTTTTCTTTCATTTTGGCACTTTTCTCCAAGAGAAGTCAGAGGCCTATACTTTTGACTGAAACCACCGTTTAAACAGTTCAGGACAAGAGTTGAAGAGCAAGAGTTCACTGGCAAGATTCAAGGTCACTCCCATTATCTTTGGCCTGTACGTTTCTGATTTTTGGATGAGTTCCTGCAGGGAACCCACCTGTTCGTTATTTTGACTGGAACAGGAGTTGCACGTGGAAGGTAAGCAAGTAAAGTATTTTAAAATCCAATTTAGTTTTGTTGTTTTCAGATGAAATGCAAGAAGCCACAGCAGACACCCTTTTCACGATTATAGTGACGGGAGGAGGGTTGCTAAGGTGTAATGTGACAGTAAGTATATAGTAAAAAAGGGTCTGAAAAGTTAACAACGGAATTTCAAACCATACACTCGTAACAATTTTAAGTGAACAAACATAATCGTAATACAGACGAGCTAATGATGGTTTTACGCTGCAATCGAGAACTTACTAGGACATCAACATGCCATTACATTTTGAACGCACACATCAACAACAATTTCGATGAACATACTAATTTCCTTTTGAGCTTTTTGATTTTTGCAGGAGAAGGTACCGTTTCAAAATTCAGTGAGGTGGTCTTACCTAGTACGTGATTCAAGCCCGACGCCCGGATTATAGTTTCTGGTAAGTCCACTTAAAGAAGTTATCTCAAACCTTTTAACCAAATTTCAGCCGTTAGTAACCGGCTATCGAAATTGAGTCAAATCGTTATATTAGCAGTAGAGAACAAATTTAAAGGAAGACACGAACACAAATGATGGAGTACATGATAGCTGACAACAGTTGGAGCTTTTCACTGTCAATTGTACTGTTAAGCCTAAGAATTTTTCAAGGTTTTTTTTAAAACCCTTTTTGTTTTTTACCTTACTATCATAAAGCTGTTTGTTTGTTTGTTTGTTTTTTTTGTCATTAACAGGTAATTTTTTTCGCTAAGATAAAATTCATAGAAGTTATACTGGCAAAGCTAGCTTAAACAATGGGCAGTCGTTTCTATCATACTGAAGAGTTTTGTGGAAATAATCCGACACAGGACTGAAGAAAACAACTCTAATTAAGACAATAAGGAGAGGAAGAGACGTTTGTAACTAGTTATTGATTGTATTGACTAGCTTAAATTGCTAAGAAATGTTCTTAAAATCACTATTTGTAGGTCAGAAAATCTCCGAGATGTTATTGCAGCCGGTAATAAGGAAAATTATTGAAGGTTAGTGACTTGTTTGCCCGGGGGGGGGGGGCACTTGGGTAATTAAAAAAGAGAGAGTAGAGAAAAAATAGTTTTTTTTTAGATTTTTTTTTTATTTTTGATATATAATAAATAAAAAAAAATGTTTTTTAAATATAAATTTTGATTTAAAAAAATGTTTTTTTGTTTTTTGTGAGTGTGAAGTTGGATTTTTTTTGTGGGGTGTGTGGGGGGGGGGGGGGGGGGGGGGGGGGGCACTTGGGTATTTTTTGGGTGGGTATGTGCCGCCCGGGACTCCAAATTGGCACCCCGTTCTAGAAAAAATTTCCCCTAAAATTGATACCCCGTTCTAGAATTCGCCCTAAAACTGATACCCCGTTCTAGAAATAGGCCAATTTTTTATACTCCGTTCTAGGGTGCAACAAGAGTACAACGGTTTGTTTGTTAACGCATTGAACCGTATTTTTAAAAGCAATCTGTCCTTGAATACTTTCGAATGGCTGCTTATAAAAGTGGAGCTTTCGTGCGTTCGTAATATTATACCCCGTTCTAGAAAACGCCCCTGAGATGGATACCCCGTTCTAAATCAGGAGCTTCAAAATCACGACCCCTTTGGGCGGCACATACCCGTATAGGAAATGTATGGGAGTACCCCCCCCGGGCTTGTTTGTCAAAAACATTCAACGAACACTCAAAAGAAATCAATGCTTAATATCGTGACTAAAGGAAGAAGGCAATTAAGAAAACAGCAGTGTAAGACAAAGAAAGCAGTGTTTTGATTCCTAACCGCAATAATACACACTTAATGACTGGTCCATGGGAAATAGCTCTGCCTCGGAAAACATTGAGATTCAAGGGAAACCAAATTTACTGTTTCCCGAGGGACCAGTCTTTAAGTTATTTCCTATACAGCTGGAAATTGTTTAAGCCCCGGCGGTCGTCGGTCAACATTCGCCGGTAACAGTGCACTGTTATCTCTGACGTCATAGATTTTGCGTCATAGATTTTGCAAAGTTAATCCCTCAGAGATTTTGGCTGGAAACAGTTTCATTCTTAGATGTCATTTGAAACTCGAACTAACCAATAATGAGAGCGCACGCTGTTGGGAAAATTTTCTAGCTATATAACAATCAATCTTTGCGCTGCGGTGACTGAATTTTAGTTTGTGAAAAACATTATATTCAAAGTTAGGAACTTCTGGATGCCGTTATCTTCACCTGTCAGCAGATGGACTGCATGAACCCCTCTTACAGTACAGAGGTGAGTTCGAGATCAGACAAATTAATATTCTTTCCGAGTTCTTTCATCACAAAACTTGTAACAACTTTCGATTACTGGATACAGGTCTAAGGCGTTAGCTCCAAGCTGTAGAACCGAGTTGTGGGTCGCTGTAGGATTCAACAGCCTTTTTGATTAGCTTTAGCAGCGTGTGCTAACCCTGAAACTTCATAAAGGCTCAATAAAATGGCTTATATAGATCATAAAACAAGTCAGCTACGACTGAAAAGGAAATAAAAGATTTCAAATTACACTACAAAGGTAATCCGTGATAATAGGAAAAGTGTGGTACATTTTGCTAAGCTTAAATTCCTTGTTCTTGAGAAGCATTATATTGAGTCGGGGATTCCCAGACGTCATGGCAGCCATCATGAAGTGTCATGTCTGCCTTTGTGATAATCTTTTAATGGTCGAAAGGACGTGCCAAATAGAGGTAAGGTAGTGGAATCAAATGTTGAAAGCTAATGAACCAGAAAAATAAGCGCATTCACTTGGAAATTGAATATAAAATCAAGTGTTCATGGAATTCAGCAGCGCGGCCTAGACTCCAAACACGGCGATGAACAACAAGGGCACACTAAAAAGACAACATTTGAACTAAAGTGTTTGAATGATTTAAAGTGGCGTTCCTTTCGTGGTTAAGTGAAAACATGAAATTATTGTTTTGCTTGTGCGTAAATCTAATGAATCCTTCAACGGTAGGGGAGAAGGGAGAAGCAAACCTCCTCTCTGAAAATAGCTTTTTTCGCTTGCTTTTCCAAAATGTTAAATGCCAAAGATCTCTCAACATTAACTGTGTAAATTTTGTAAATTTATTTTTGACCATTGGTTGCTGTAAGTATCGTATAACTGCAAGAGGTGAAAATCAAGCTGTTTTCATGAAAAATTTCCGGTTTTTTTTGCATTTTCCTGGCTGCAGACGAACGCTCTACTAAAAGCAGCAAAATTTAAAATTGTTCGACTTAAGCGCACAGCTGTTTAGAAAGTTAATTTTTTCAAAGCATTCAAAATAATAAGAACAACGAAGGAAAAAAATGCAGTTGATTCCACCATTCATAGAAAGATAAGCTATGAACCAGTTTTTCGACAACAGCTTAAGTAAGCCTTTCGTTAAAACGATAATAAAGAGAAGTCGAAAGCCATAGCAAGTTACCATGGTTTGATACCAAAATTTGATTTCTTTTCCATGTCTAATTTTTGCACAACTAGCCCAGAGTATTATACGCAGTCTGCGCTAATTTTAAAAGACCGCAATTACGAAAAAATTATAATTCGCCTTGAAATGCACCCAAAATTATACTGTCTGTTGCTTGTTACCTTTCACGAGATCATGTCTAAAGCCATCTCATGACTTGAGAAGACACAGTTTCACGACTTGTGCATTTTAAACGCAGAACTTTTAATGGTCTCTCGGTAGGTAACTCTTGAGCGTCAACTGGGAGCAGGGAGGGGAGGGACAGCGGAGGCTGGGCGTATGCCTGCCCTGCGCCCCTCAACACTCCAACGAAAAAAAGAAAAAAAATATTGCTATTTTCTTATTTTTTATTCCAAGAGCCATTAAAGCGAGTGTCTCGTTGCAAACACAGTTAAAGGGTAGAATGCAGAATGTCCCTTGGTATATAACTAAAGTACATGCATCAATATAAGCAAGGTACATGCATTAATATAATTACTGGTCATGAACATATTACATGTACAGTTTATATCTTAGTTTAATTTACGAGGATTTTTCCGTACTTTACTCCTTCAACTGGTTTTATCGCGTGGGCGTCAATGTCGTGAAACTGTGTCCTTAGGCCCTTCATGTATTCCATTCTCTAATGCTAACCGTTCATATCCTTAAAATTCCCATCCCAATTCCCTTTAAGTTCCCTGCAGCACAGATTCAGTATATTTTTGGGTGGCTTGAGATTGTCGAAAATTTAGGCCAAAAATTCGATGCGAGATGGTGATAATATTTCAAATGGCTTTTTCGTGAACTGGGCTGATTGTGTATAATAAACCATTTTCCAATGTTGACTGATTTCAATTTCGTCCTGAGATGCTGTAAATAACAATTATTAGCCTCAGTTTTTTGTCACGGAGAAAAGCAACGAAAAAACGAGGGTTCTTGGCAGGTAGTTAACGAGATTATTAGGGAGCCGTTTTATAGTGTTGTGGATAGCGCAAGTTGCTGGCGAGGTTCATGTTGATATCATGGAATGCGGAGACGCCGTAAACCTGTCACGTGGTCTTGTCACCATTTTTCGATTTTCACTGAAAATGCAGATTTAACAAAAACCAATGAAATTGTGATGAATTTCGGGATTGCTCTGAAAATGTAATAAGCCATTCCTCCTCTCTTGACCATAATATTTTGCTACTTTTTGGAAGCGTTTTGTACGTTTTGAGGTCTAATCACAGGATTGAACTATCTAATTGGCTTAAGGGGCTTACATGAGGGAGCCTCAACAGTGTATACGGGTATTCTGACGACATGGAAGTCGCGACGATGGCCACTGATAAAGCGATAAAGTGCGGGAAGATCGCATTACCTTTTCAATAAAGTTAGACAACGTTGGTCGTGCAATGAAGGCAAAGAAACCTGCTAAAAAGAATTGCTGCAAGCTCAGAGATTTTGTTTTGCTAATTTCCTCATTTCCGTAGTCGTTGTGTTTAAGTTGAGTTCATTAGTAGCTTAAATACCACGCAAACAATTCTTGATATGCGACCATTTCGCCTGAAAAACCGTTGTTGGAAATCGCGCGACAGGGGCTCATAATGCCAAGAAAATATGGGTACTTTTTTCAAGGTTTCTTTGGGATTTAATGACGTCGAAGATGGCAGCGGTAGCCGCAGTGGCTCTCTGATTCAACTCTTTTTTTATATTGAACTCGTCATCTTCACCTGGGCCAGATCAGATCGCTGTTTGCGTGTGATTTTTGATAGCAAAGGGCATTCGCAAAAGTCTTTGCATGTGTTGCTAATATTTTCCTTTTCAAAGTATTTACATTTAGGTTCCTGCAAACTGCTCGTCCCGTGGCAGCCATCCTTATCTGACTGGTGACATCGTTGGGCGAAATCGGATCAAACTCTTCCCTCCTTTTCGACAAGAGGTATAAACTATTAAAACCAAAGATCAATGTCTTTCTGTAAACTATTTCACTCAAAACTTCAAAGGGCGAATGATGAAAACTAAACCCTCAGTAATGCCATTAGAATTAAACTACAAACTGTCAATGACAAAAAAAAATGATAATACAAGAACTGACGTCAACTTTTTTCGGCGTCATGTGATCCATGTTAATCCCTTACCTCCAGGCCTTTTGCGTCAGTTTTTTTTTTGTCTTTATTTTTTTGCTTGTTCGTTTGTTTATTTTAAGTTTTTAATTTTACCTAACCAGAAGTTAATATGTTCAGGTTTCCTTTAATTATTATTTTTTTAATTTGATTTGTGCTTCGCAAAATAATGACCACCATAAGTAAACTCGTGATTATTGCTGCGGAGCGACCGTAGGGAGCGAGCAGCAACATAATCAGGATTTAAGGGAAATATATAAGGGGCGACGAATTCTCGAATTCATCACTTTTTACCACAATGCATTGCATTTAACCACACTTTTTCTGCCCAGACTCCGAGTTTTCTTTGTAGGAAATTTTCTACAGCACGGTTAGAGGTCTTACCAAATTTAAGACACGCAGGAGTCTTTCAGATGAGTACGATGGTTAACTTGGGGATTGGATTGCAATTCAAGAGCCTTTGACTCGTCCAGGTTTTAAATCTAACGAGAAGATGAGCATTTGCTCTTCGACTCCGCAACACGGGGGATATACAAATTCCAGCTTGCTAGAAGGTGATGTGAAAGTGAGAAAATGTCATGCCATGCTATTCTTAAGAACCTGCATGAGCCGAAGATGGATATGATTTTGACCATTCCCTTCAAAATAACAGCGGAAATCGAGATAACAAAACATTTGTTTTGTGTCCTACGTTGCAGACGAGGACGTGTATCGGCGTTTTGAAAAGCATAATTATGTTCTTTCATTCATTCATTGCCATGACATATGCGTTCAAATTGTTTTTTTACTGTTCATAGCTCGATTAATGCGGCTGGCGATCATCTTGCCAGCGGAAGTTTTATGGAAAAGGCATTAAATTAAAGACTTTTCCCAGAATTACGTTATCAGTCTCTTTGGTGTAGTGGTTAGGTGTAGTCGCGTCGAGCCGCTGGTGCAGGGTTCGAGTCCTACCGAACTCTTTTTTTCCTTCTTTCTTTTTTTTTCCGTTTTTTGTGTTGTTGTTTTCTATAAAAATATAGCTAAATAACTGTTACTTAATAAAGTGCAATAAACTGCAAGAAATGTATCGTGTTTCCAGAGAAAAGATAGTACACCGTATATTAAATATATGGATAAACAATCTGAATTTCTATCATTTCCTACAATTTACTGTGGGAAAACCAGAGTTCATAACCACTTGATCATTTTTTAAACAACGTTCCCACGAGTTTTTTCTATAGACTGATAGTAATTATTCTAGTACTTTCCAACATGCAAATAGGACATTCCATGTCATTTTCGATTCTTTTAATTCTCACTGCCTAACTAATGCCAGTATCAACAGAATTTGCCGCAGCATCACTATCTTTTAGATACCCTAGTATTATAAATAATCTTCTGTGTCGTTTTCTTTGTAGTGAGATCAAGAAGCTCGGCATTTGGATTCAGTCCAGCCATGTCGAACGGTATCTTCCTGCGACAGCTAACAGGGATGTCGATTTAAATGAAGCCTCTTCAACAATGGTGCAGGTGAACGTCTATATTTTTTCTACTAACTCTTTACAGCAGCTTAAAAAATTTCCTTTCAGGAATTTCGAACGCGATTTTTTTCAGTTCGACTTTTTTTAACGTTTTTTTCTGGAGAAAATGGACTCTTGGGGCGCGCCCTGTCGGCAAGATGAACACCAAGTTTTGTCTTTTTGCGTCAAGCTGCAGCGTTTTGTCTTTCATTTTGGAACTTTTCTCCAAGAGAAGTTAGAGACCAATACTTTTGACTAAAACCACCGTTTAAAGAATTCAGGACAAGAGTTGAAGAGCACTGAAGAGTTCACTGGCAAGATTCAAGGTCACTCCTATTATCTTTGGCCTGTACGTTCTACCTTTTGGATGAGTTCCTGCAGGGAACCCACCGGTCTATTATTTCGACTGGAACAGGAGTTGCACGTTGAAGGTGAGCAAGTAAAGTATTTTAAAATCCAATTCATTTCTGTTGTTTTCAGATGAAATGCAAGATGCCACAGCAGACACCCTTTTCACGATCATAGTGACGGGAGGAGGGTTGCTGAGTTGTCACTTGACAGTAAGTATAGTAATGAAAAAGGGTCTGAACAGTTAACAACGAAATTTCAAACCATACACTCTTAACAATTTTTAGTGGACAAAAAAAAACATAATCTACGAGCCAACGATGGTTTTACGCTGCAAATGAGAACTTGCTGGGGCATCAACATACAATGACATTTTGAACACACACGCATGCTAGTTGAGAAATCGACGACAATTTTGATGATCATACTAATTTCCTTGTGAGCTTTTTGTTTTGTTTTTTTTTTATGGAAGGTACCGTTTCGAAATTCAGTGAGGTGGTCTTACCTACGTGATTCAAGCCCAACGCTCGGATTATAGTTTGTGGTAAGTCCACTTAAAGAAGTTATGTCACGCCTTTTATAACCAAATTTCAGACGTGAACCGGCTGTTGAAATTGAGTCAAATCTTTATATCATCGCTTAAAGCAGTAGGACAGTAAATTAAAACGAGGACACGCCGTATAAACACAAATGATGGAGTATGTGATAGCAGATAACAGTTGGAGCTTTTCACTGACAATTGTTAAGCCTTGGAATTTTTGTTTTAATCCTTTTTGTTTTTTGTGATGCTGTTTATTATTTAGGGTTAGGGTTAGGGTTTTTTCATCAACAAGTATTTTTTTTGCACTGAGATAAAATTCATAGAAAGTATCTGGCAAATTTAAAATTTAGCTTAAACAATGGGCAGTCCTCCCTATCACACTAAAAAGGTTTGTGGAAATAATCCGACACAGGACTGAGGAAAACAACTCTAAGAGAGTAAGGAGAGAAAGAGACGTTTGTAACTAGTTATTGATTGTACTGACTATATTTCTGGCTTAAATTGCTAATAAATGTTCTTAAAATCACTATTTGCAGGTCAGAAAATCATCTAGATGTTATTGCAGCCGGTAATAAGTGAAAATGTTAAAGGTTAGTATCTTCTTAAAGAACTGTGAACAAGTTTGTCAAAGCATTCAACGAACACTCAAAAGAAATCAATGCTTGATGTCGCAACTTAAAGACCAAGGCAATAAAACAGTAGTAAGACTAAGAAAACAGTGTGTTAATTCCTAACTGCAACAATAAACACTAAATGACTGGTCCTGGAGGAAAAAGCTCCGCCTCGGGAAACAAAATTAACTGTTTCCTGAGGGACCGGTCTTTAAGTGATTTGTTATACAGCTGAAAATTTTGAATCTGGAAATTCATTAAACCTCGGCGGTCGTCGGTCAACATTTGAGGGTAAGAGTGCACTGTTACCTTCTGACGTCATAGATTTTGCAATGTAACCTCGAAGTAACTGCTGAGAGCGCACGCTGTTGGGAACAAAAATTCCAGTTATATAATAATCAGTGATCTTATTGCTGCGACACTGAATGTTAGTTTGTGAAAAACATTTTATTGTAGGTTAGGAACTTCTGGATGCCGTTAAAGACGCATGTGTGATGGACTGAATGAACCTTTATTTCAGGACAGAGGTAAGTTCGAGATCAGACAAATTAATATTCTTTCCCGAGGAAGGGCGAACTCGTTGATGACAAAACTTACAACAACAACTTTCGATTACTGGATAAAAGTCTAAGGCGTTCCCTCCAAGCTGTAGAACCGAGTTGTATAGGTCGCCTTAGTGATTAGTTTTAGCAGAGTGCTAACCCTGGAACTTCATAAAGGTTTAAAATGGCTTATATAGATCATAAAACAAGTGAGCTATAACTTAAAAGGAAATAAAACATTTCAAATTACACTACTAAGGCAATCCGTGACTATTGGAAAAGTGTGGTACATTTTGCAAACTGTTTAAATTCCTTGTTCTTGAGAAGCATTTATATTTAGTCGGGGATTCCCAGACGTCATAGCAGCCATCATAAAGTGTCATGACTGCCCGTGTGATAATGTTTTAATGGTCGAAAGGACGTGCCAAATAAAGGTAAGGTACTGTAATAAAATGTTGAAACTAATGAACCAAAACAATAAACGCAATCACTCGGAAATTGAATTTTAATCAAGTGTCCGTGGAATTCAGGAGCCCGGCGTAAACTCCACACGTGGCGATGAACAACAAGGGCACACTAAAAAGACAAAAGGTGAACTAAAGTGTTTGAATGATTTAAAGTGGCGTTCCTTTCTAGGTTAAGTGAAAACATGAAATTATTGCTTTGCAAGTGCGTAAATCTAATGAATCCTCCAACAGCAGGGGAGAAGGGGGAAGCAAACCTCCTCTTTGAATATAGCTTTTTTCGCGTGCTTTTCCAAAATGTTAAATGCCAAAGTTCGCTCAATATTAACTGTGTAAATTTTGTAAATTTATTGTTGATCATTGGTTGTTCTTAGTATCGTATAACTGCAAGAGGTGAAAATCAAGCTGTTTTCATGAAAAATTCCCGCGTTTTTTTCGGTTTTCCTGGCTGCAGACGAATGTGCGCTACTAAAAGCAGCAAAAGTTAAAATTGTTCGACTTTAGCGCACTTCTGTTTAGTAAGTTAATTTTTTCAAAGCATTCAAAATAATAAGAACAACGAAAGAAAAAATGCAGTTGATTCCGCCATTCATAAGAAAGATAAGCTATGAACCAGTTTTTCTGGCAACAGTTTACAACAGCCTTCGTTAAAACGATAGTTAGTAAAGAGAAGTCGAAAGTCATAGTAAGTTACCATGGTTTGATACCAAAATTTGTTTTCTTTTCCATGTCTAATTTTTGCACAATTAGCCCAGAGCATTATACGCAGTCTGCGCTAATTTTAAAAGACCGCAATTAAGAAAAAATTATAATTCGCCTTGAAATGCACCCAAAATTATACTGTCTGTTGCTTATTACCTTTCACGAGATCATGTCTAAAGCCTTTCTCTCATGGCTTGAGAGGATGCAGTTTCATGACTTTTGCATTTTAAACGCAGAACTTTTAATGACCTCTCGGTAGGTAACTCTTGAGCGTCAACTGGGGGCAGGGAGGGGAGGGACAGCGGTGGATGGGCGTATATATGCCTGCCCCGCGCCCCTCAACCCTCCAAAGATCAAAAGAAAAAATATTGTTATTTTCTTATTTTTTATTCCAAGAGCGATTAAAGTGAGTGTCTCGTTGCAAACACAGTTGAAGGGTAGAATGCAGAATGTCCGTTGATATACGACTAAAGTACATGCATTAATATAGGGAAGGTACATGCATTAATTACCGGTCATGAACATATTACGGTTTATATCTTAGTTTAATTTACGAGGATTTTTCTGTACTTTACTCCTTCAACTGGTTTTATCGCGTGGGCGTCGATGTCGTGAGACTGTGTCCTTAGGCCCTTCATGTATTCCATTCTCTAATGCTAACCGTTCATATCCTTTAAATTCCCATCCCAATTCCCTTTAAGTTCCCTGCAGCACAGATTCAGTATATTTTTGGCTGGCTTGAAATTGTCGAAAATTTAGGCCGAAAAATTCGATGCGAGATGGTGAAAATATTTCAGATGGCGTTTTCGTGAACTGAGCTGATTGTGTATAATTAACCATTTTCCAAATGTTGACTGATTGAGACGCTGTAAATAACAATTATTAGCCTCATTTTTTTGTCACGGAGAAAAGCAAAGGAAAAACGAGGGTTCTTGGCAAGTAGTTTCCGAGGTTATTAGGGAGCCGTTTTGCAGTGTTGTGGATAGCGCAAGTTGCTGATGAGGTTCATAATGCGGAGACGCCGTAAACGTGTCACGTGGTCCTGTCACTAATTTTCGATTTTCACTGAAAATGCATGTTTAACAAAACAAGTGAATTTTAGGGATTGCTTTGAAAATGTAATAAGCCAATCCTTCTCTCTTGGCCATAATATTTTGCTGCTTTTGGAAGCGTTTTGTACGTTTTGAGGTCTAATCAGGGGATTGAACTCGCTAATTGGCTTAAGGGGCGTACATAAGGGAGCCTCTAAAGTGTATATGGGTATTTCCGACGAAATGGAAGTCGCGACGATGGCCACTGATGAAGCCACGATCTTAGAGATTAAAGTGCGGGAAGACCGCATTACCTTTTCAATAAAGTTAGACAACGTTGGTCGTGCAATGAAGGCAAAGAAACCTGCTAAAAAGAATTGCTGCAATTTCAGAGATTTTGTTTTTGCTAATTTGCTCATTTCCATCATCGCTGTGGTTGAGTCGAGTTCGTTAGTAGCGTAAATACCACGCAAAACAATTCTTGATATGCGACCATTTCGCCTGAAAAACCGACAATTTGTTGGAAATCGCGCAACAGGGGCTCATAAGGATGCTTTTTTCCACGCTTCTTTGGGATTTAACGACGTCGAAGATGGCAGCGGTAGCTTCACTGGCTCTCTGATTCAACTCTTTTGTTTATTGAACTCGTCATCTTCACCTGGGCCAGATCTGATCGGTATACGCGTGTGATTTTTGATAGCAAGGGGCATTTGCAAAAGTCTTTGCACGTGTTTCTAATTTTTTTCTTTTCAAAGTATTTCCATTTTGGTCCCTGGAAACTGC